GATGAGATTTATGGCAAGCGAATGAATTGTGCCAACAAATTATTCAGCTGCACTAGCAGCAGAATTTGCAAAAATACTCATAATTACGAAGAGTGATGTGATGAATTTGTGCTATAGGAAAGTGCTAACAAGGGAATGCTTCATGATATCAAAAGGAAGGTCGGCCACGTTGTTGGTCTGTAATTAGAGGGTGCTGCACATTGCTTGCAGGATAAGTGAACTTGTGGCGATCATCATGGGTGACAACACGATCGATCAGTGCCTTGAGAGGAAGGGCCCTCATCAGATGACCATCAATCAGATGACCCTCATCAGCCATCGGGATGACCCTCATCAGCCATCCAGTCAGAATCACTATAGTCCTATATTAACTTGAAAAAAAAATTAAGCAACTTACAAGAGTTCACGAAGATTAGCCATGATCAATGTGATTTCGCAGTCGGTTTTTCTCAACAACTGAGATTTGGATTGGGGATCAAATAGAACAGAGAACAATCACTCGACACGAGAGGAACGATGGGCGGTGAATGTGAAGCATTGTTAGCGCAATAGACGCAAATAAATGCAAGCAAAACATGTAATGAGAAGAATTCATTTAAGAAGCAATTTTGCGTTTGAAACGATTCACTTCCGTTCGCGAAAACATCAACGAGCAATTGACAACAACAGCAACAAACTAACTCACCGAATATCACGTTCATCTGCGGACAGCCGATGCATATTCGCCGAATGAGATGCAAAATCAATGAGAGGATCGCCCGATTTGTGATCAAATTGTGGTGGGCCACTACTACAGCTTAACCTTGGTGCTCCATGTGGGGAACGAATCTGCAAATATATTGTTCATACGCACAGTATATTGTTCATGCGCACAATAAAAACTTCTAAATATTGTTCGTACGCACATCAATCACACAAAAATCTGTCTGTTTGAAGAAAATCGTTGCCATGGATATATTGTTAAAGATGAAGATGGGTGACGAGCAGTCACGAAACGATCATCGACGAATTATCAGTCAACAAAAGACTGATATCCAACCAACTATCAGATGATCATCGGATGCACCGTTTGGAATGGAATCAATTCTAGCAAAAAGACAACTCTCTGATACTGTGCACCTAATCGCTAGCACTTCAAATACTATTGCCTGATTGTAAGCATCCAGATAGATCCACTCAGAGATCACATTTCGTCGACTTCACAGTGATATTTTGGTGATTAGCATTGAATTTTTTTTGGTTCTTTCGTTATCACCAATCTTTAAGCGTTTAACTGAGAGCGCTGAAGATTTGAATTGAAATGCAGGGCTAGAATTAATT